ACACACACACACACACTGGTCAGCACCAGGCAGGGAACAGGTCCCCAAGGTGGTTGCTCAGACACCGCGGTTTTTCTAAGTCCTCACTGAGTCAACAAAATGAAAAGCAAGAGTCAGAATGAGCCACACTTTCCCCGGTCCTCTTATAAGGGAGAAAAGTGCTAAAGGTCAGGGAACTGCTTGCCATATACATATCACGGAGATTCACGGACCATCAGGTATAAAATGAAAAGGATCGTCTCCATATCCACATCAGGAGTCAAAACAGCCTGGTCACCCATGATCAATCCAGACACTGAACGCTCCAACTCTGTCAGATTAAGTGCCTTGATGTTTTACATCTTTTAAAATGCATTTGTACTTTTCAAACATCTATGCAATACAGTGTGATTTCATTTTCATGGTTCTAGGAAGCTGAGGGTAAAAAGCTTTATGCTCAGTAGGGTTCATGACTTTATTACTGTACTGTTGTCTCTTTTCCTGCAATAAGGATAATCTTTTAGTGTGTTTTTAAATAAATAGAATGTTTATGTTGGAATAATTTGAGATTTACAAAAATGTTGCAAAGATAGTACAGAGAGCTTCCACATAGCCTCACCCAGTTTCCCGTAATGTTATCATCTTATATTACCATAGTACAGTTGTCAAAACTAAGGAACCAACATCAGTATGTCATGACGAGTGAAACTCAAGACTTTATTTGGATTTTACCAATGTTTCCATTTTTCTCTTTCCTGTTCCAGGATCCAATCCAGGATACCACAATGCATTTAGCTGTCATGTCTCCCCTGTTCCCTCTGGTCTGTTATAATTTCTTAGTGTCTCTTTCTTTCCCTGTGACTTTGACAGTTTTGAAGAGTACTGGTCAGGTATTCTGTAAAATGTCCCTTGACTTGGGTTTGCCTGATGTTTATCTGATACTTAGCAAAGTATATTGGTATATTTTTAAAATCTATATAACAGTGACCAACCTCTCTAGACCACAGATTATGAGGAATTAAATGAACTATTCTAGTTTAAGAGTATGTCTCATGAACAGTGATCCCTGGATTACCTGATATACTGAATCCAGGTACTTTTTGAGAATCTTGAGAACTTAGATCAAGACTGATCATTTCACTGCATTTAAATTCACTAATTTAAGTCATTCTTCTACCATAGAGGAGCTGTACATATCACAATGGAATCACTCAGGCCCCAGAAGAGTCTTGATCTAGATTTTTGAGACAATAGGTGAAGAGAAAATGTATAATTACTTTTTTTCTCTGAAGAAATAGTGTAACTATGAGATAGCTGAAATATGGGTTTAGAAGTCAGGCAGACTTGAGTTTGAATCTGTTAGCTGTGTGATCTTGGTCAAGTCCCTTAAACTCTCTGTGCCTCAGTTTCCTCATCTGTAAAGTCTATCTAATGAGGGTACGTAAATCACAGAATAGTTGTGAGAATTTAATGTGTTTTTCTAAAGTAACTAATGTTCACAAAGATGCACCCAGATGTATAAAATATTATATATTGTATATTAATCCAAATTTTGTTTAAATATAGATGTTTGTAAACATGCATAAAAAAACCCCACATTGAACGGCACAGAAACACAATGAAAAACCATAATCACAGCAGTTACCTCTGGGTGGTGGGATTATAGAACACTTTCTAAATATTTTCAAATGTACACATTATTGGGAAATACGTAGTAAATATTAGGAAAGAAATCGTGCATTGCTTTACAGCTCACACACCCAATGTCTCTGTGCCAGGCTCAGAATAGTAATGATACTGCGCTAACCTCCTAGCCATGCAGAGAAATGTGCTGAGATTTTCACTAATGCTTCTCCCTCCTCAGTGAGGGTTGAAGGGATCGCTAAGGTGGAGAGGCTCACCCTAGGTGTCAGGGTTAGAGAACTCTCTCCCTTTGATATCTAAAGAATTCTGGAAGGTTAGTCCTTCCCCCTTAGGGAATGCTGTGGTTTGCTCTGCTTATTCTCTCAAGGTTACAGAAGTTCAAACAACCTGTTCCTGTGCTCTCAAACAATTACCCAAGGAGAGCAGTAGAGTGGGCGGTGAGCTGAGGCGCTTTTGAAAGGCTGGCTGACAGCTTAGCCTTGACTTCAATAGGTTAAGTGACTTATCCCTGGGTGCTTGACAAGCCAGAGGCAGAGCCAAGGATCAGAGCTCAGAATGCTAGATTATTGACTTTGGGTTTGCACCCAAGACAGCCAGCCTCTCTATCTGGCGTCATGCTCTCAGGCTTTAGGAGAAATAGCAATGATTTCTTCCTGAAAGTCAGCCCCATTACAGTGGAATCACTTGCATGCGCTATTTTAGTGTGTTCTCTATTTCCTACTCCTCTGTGCTCTCCCAGATTTCAGTATTCCTGGCCAGTTCTGAAGATTTAACTGATGACACAAGACAGCGATGAGGCTTATCATTCACCTCATTTAGACATCAAATAACGCCAAAGCACCCTGCTTTAAGGGACCAGTTGACACAAAAATTCAAGTTCCAGTATAATGAACAGCTGTTTACTCACCCTTTCATACTGCCTTACAAAGGAAAGGATTTAGCGTTCTTATTTTTATCTCTGAATTTCTTTTTTCCCCCCAAAATACAAATCAGATCCCATGGAATCTTCTTCAGCCAAGGGAAGTCCACCTTTGTTCTTATTTCAATGGTGGCATGCATGCCTGCTTCCCATTTTGGGAATTCCTTTCTATCTGCTGCATATTCTCCAGTGCCTCTGTTCAAATACTTGTCCAGCATTTCTTTTTAGTCAGGATTTTGTTGAACCACTCAACAGGGATGCCCACCAAATGACAAGCTTCTCCAAGCAGGATAGTTTCTGCTCAGACTGCTTCTAATGTGGCTCTAAATTTAATGACAGGTGTGTGTGTATGTGTGTGTGGGGGGTGCATGTAAAAGGGCCCTACACAAGGTTAGTAAATCACTTTTTTCAAATTCCTGTCCTTAAAAGAAGAACAGGAATGGGGAGAAGGAACTAGTGAGTTTTGATGTGTTCCATTTTATATGTAGATAACTCTGCAAACGTCACTCACAAAAACAAACAAACCAAAAAACAACTCAGTTTTTTATCCACCTGCAAACTTTCCCCTGACACAGCAGAATGAAATACTAAAAAGGAAGTATGTATTAGGCTCTTGCATAATTTCAGTTAGAAAAAGGAAAAGAAAATAAAAATCACAACTGAATAGGATCACATGACATTATTTAGAGTAAGGAATACTTAATTCCAAGAAAAACCAGGTTTTTCCTAGCTTCCTTACTCAGAGATAACTGTCAATCATTAGACCAGTGCCAGGGAGGCAGAGAGTGAATCAGGCACTTGCCATAGGTCTGTGCTTTATGTGTCCTAGACACTGCTCTGGGTCACATCTGGTTCCCACGAAGGAATATTCAGAGGACAGAGCAAGTGGGAAGAGACTCAGCATAAAAGATACATATTGCCAATGGGGAGTTTCTCAGGTGTACAATTATCTGTTCAAGCTCTTTGCTCCTGGGGGTCCTTTAGTACATCAAATAAGGAGCCAGCCCTGGTTGGAGAGTCAGCAGTTCTGGCTTTTAGGCTCCCATCTGAAAACAGCCAGTGTGTGACCTTTGAGTAGGAGCCTGACCTAGATGATTTCTAAATTGCGTGGATGTGGTCCCATGTTTCTAATAAAGTAAAAGAAACCATGAACAATGTTCTCACAGGCATGACACAAAAACAAAGAATGCATTACCTCCAAGAAATCAGACTCACTGTTGTCCCAAATTCAGCCTAATTTGGATCTGAGATTTCTAAAATGTATATAAGATTTCTATAGTTGAAGGGGCCAAGCTTTTTTATGTTCTGTTCCTTTGATGATAAACAGAATACTAAAGCACACTTCAGTATGAATTTAAGACTTGTATTAATACCTTCCATCTTTTGGTTTTGAATTTCTGAAAAACACTCATTGAGGGGTCAACTAGAGGACCAAAGAAAGCATCCCCCTCAGCAGCACCCTCTAAATGTTGCCCTTGGCACCATCCCCTGTGCTAAATCCAGCTCTGGTCGGATACTGACATTGGATTTCTCCAGTCTTATTTGGTAATAAGCAAAAGTAAATCCACCTTAATTTCTAAGACTCCACCTTAATTACTAAGCACATGAAAGGGAAACAGTAGAGGTGATTTTCCTGTGGAGAGCCTGATGGATAATTTGTATAAGTGCACAGACCCACTAGAATGATTAGCTTGATGTCCATCACCAAAATGGGTACTTCTGCCTACAATTAATGCTACCTGAAATGCCTGAGAGACAGGAACAACCAAAGAAAATGAAGAGATTTGGAGAGCATTACAGAATTGCTTGCTGAAGCAGCAGCACGTGTATATAGCTATTCCTGTGAGCCAACTCTAGAGTGCTGCCATTCCTGTTTACAAACTGCAACCCATGCTGGAGTGGGGTTTGGCATTGGCCACCACTTACGGAATTCATCTGTGGCCACATCCAAATGCAAACTCTTTAGTCTGTATCACCTGAGACTGGAGACAGGTAGGAGAAGGATGAAGCTTCTGGCTTACCTGTACTGGGAATCATTCTGGTCTGTAGATGGTATCGTCAAACACTCATCATGACCATGGAAAAGACGCACTACATGCCCACCAAGTAGGTATCCTACAAGAGAATTAGATTCTACCATGAACTGATGGCAATGTTAATAAAGAGAATACCAGGTTTAAAAGGAGAAATTCATGCAGGTATGAGTCAGTTATGAAAAACACCCAGAGAGAAGCATTTGGGAAATTATCAATTCCATGAATTCAGGCCTCAGGCAGAAAAGGCAAGAATGTCAAAATAATTCTAACATTGAAAGTTAAACAGAGTTTCAGAATTGAGCAAGTCCAACATCAAAGGGTAAGGTGAAAATAGTGTCAATTCACATCATTGAAAACCAAAAGTAAAATTAAGTTGCTACTGTATGGAGGTTCCTCAAAAAATTAAACATAGAACTACCTTATAACTCAGCAATTCCACTTCTGAGTATTTATCTGAAGAAATTCAAAACACTAATTTGAAAAGATATATGAACCCTATGTTCACTACAGAGTTATTCACAACAGCCAAGATATGAAAGCAACCTAAGTGTCCATCAACGATTGGATAAAGAAGATGTGGTACATTTATACAATGGAGTATTACTCTGCCATAAAAAAAGAATGAAATCTTACCATTTGCAACAGCATGGATGGACCTAGAGGATATTGTGCTAAGTGACATAAGTCAGAGAAAGACAAATACCATGTAATCTCACTTATATGTGGAATCTAAAGAACAAAATAAACAGAAACAGACTCATAGATACAGAAAACAAACTGATGGTTGCCAGGTGGCAGGGGGGTTGGGGAGCTGAGTGAAAAAAAAAAAAAGAAGATAAGGATTTTCCAAATTCTTATGATGTAAATACATCTGACACAAGATTTCTAGAAAAGTTCTTACACTTTCAACTTGTATACTTTGTGGCAAAATTCAAATCAGATTGCAATCATGCAAAGAAAGAAGGTGCTGGGAAGGGGGCTAGCACACTATTAAGAGTTGTCTTAGGAAAAGCTAGCTTTCAAATGCATTTAACAAACACAGATCAAACCTGGACACTATTCCTGCATCAAGGAAAAGGCAGAAAGACATTCCAGTACTCCTGAGTGGACAAACATAGATGCCATTATCAGTAAACTCTTAGCTTTTAGAATAAGGAAAGGAATCTCAATAGCCATGGAGTTCAAAGACAGCTAGGAAGCAATGAGATTCCAGGACATGATGACCAATTAGTCATCATAAATTCTGAGCCTTAATTCAAAGAGCATAGTAGCAGGAGAGGGACCCCAGTCTGAGCTTTATCTTGCACAAATAAATGGATTTTTTTATCCCATTAAATTAAAAAAATGCTCTAGGCTATTCTTCACTCAGGAAACATATGGACTTAATGTGCTCAATGTCTGTATTAGGATTAAAAAAAAAACTCCACATAATTAGATCACTTTAGAGGCTGTCAAGCTATTGTTGTGTTGGTTGGAAACAGTAGGAATAAGTCATGCCAGAGAATAAGAAGGTGCTATCAGTGCATCTTTTACAGGGACAGTCTGATTCTCCCTAATTCATTTTTTTTTCATCTAGGCAAGGCAAGTTTTTCTTAAACTTCTCCCAAATATTCAGAAGTCTTTTTCCAACTTCCCTCTTACTGTACTATTTCCAGTTGCATCTTGCTTTTTTCATTAAAATAATTCATGACATACTGTAGGGGAATTCTTAACAGCCAATTTATTTAGAAAATTGAAACCCTCTCCAATCATGCTCTTGATTAAACTCTCTATCATCTCATGATGGTCAGGTCATGCCCCAGTTGAAGTTCATCCCTTATAGTGCTCAGGCTCCTCCAATCAATATTCTGCTCACACAGAAGAGTACCAAGTACTAGTGCATCACAACATTTCTTCATCGAAATATATCAGGGCAATAGTCAGGAAAGAAGGGTCATGGTGGTGAGGATCACTTATGCTCTCAAGGGCTAAAGTGGGTTCTCACCAGTGGATGCTGAAAGACCACTGTCTACAGGGCTCATAACTCAAGTGAAGAGCTACCCAGGTTATATTACAAGGGCACTCAATACATCTTTAAGGATCTTTCTGGCTTGATTTGCAAACACTTCTTAACTAATCTCCACAAGCCCTCTGTTGGGACTGGGAAATAACTTTATTCCTACGGTGACAATGAAAAATTTAACATGGAGTAGATTCAGTTATAACTTCCTTGGGGAAATATTTAAACCGAGAGTTCTTAATTTCTCACAGAAAGGGAATGATGGACAGTAGACATAGGGTGGTAGGTTAATTTTGTCACAAAAGAAGAGGACTAAAAATATCCTGCCCTTTTAAAGCCTTTCACAGATTGCCAAAAGACTTAAAAATCTGTCATTTCCTGATTATTCAGTTTACCTATGATGTCTTCTGAAACTAGGGTATCACCTTGACACTCTCAGTTTGCCATTTCCAAACATCATATCATAGGAGGGCATCTCCAGTTTGAAACCACTAGGCTCAGGATTAAAAATAGACTTAAACCTTGTGATATGAGTATTTAAAAAAATGTCTGATCTTGCTACAAAGGGCTAGAATGCAATGCGATGACCCACAGGTCATTGACATTTGATTATTCTGCTCAGCTGTGATCTCACCCCTGAGTAAGGTAAGGCCAGTATATTTATTCCATAACCTGAAAGGTGCTCTGACTTTGCCTGGCTCCAAGAAATAGGATGTATCAAACACACTTTGATGATCTTATTTGAAGGGAAAAATAAAATATTGAGAATATTTCATTTATTATTTTTGAATGGTTTTCCATAAATATAAGTAGAAACAAAAAGCAAAATGTACTTTATTATAGAGAAAGTCCTTCTCCCTCCTCTATGGAGAGATGCACTGGGGAGAAATATTAACAACATCATCTTCTTGGCAAATAATCTCCTCTAAAATGGAAGTTGCTGAGGTCTGTACCCTTATAACAAGTAACCATAAATAAAAATGAAAAATCCGTGGGTGACACAAGGTGCATATCCAAGTCCTAAATGCATGTAGTACTAAAGTAATAGTGAGCACTGAAGGATTAAAAGTAATTCCAGGAATGCTCATGTAATCAGAAATCGGGACAGAAAATAATCCATACCGACATCAGAGAAAGGAATTCAGGTGAACTAAAATCATGCTAACCGTGTATCCAGACACTCAGGTGGGAGCTGGGAAGCAGCAGAACATGTCAATATATACAGCACAAGACAGACCAGCAGGCTGAGGGCTGCATGCATATAAAAAAGCACACCTTCTTCGATGCCACTTCCTGAGCACGTAGGATGTACATTCCAGAGTGTCTGCATAAAGGAGGCATCCACTTGTATGGTAGCATTTGATACTGAGAGATGCTGTGGCAGAAACAGAAATGAGACAGGCTTGAACTCACTTGGCCGGTCCTGACAGAAGCAGCTCACCTAGAACTTTAAGGACTGAATGAAACAGCCTTACTGTCCTCTGGCTCTTGTCACATAGCGGTGGGAGATTTCGCCACCCAATCTATCTAGAAGCGGCTTCGAAGTGGGATACTTTATTCAGGGGAGAGGAAGTATTTAGCTCCAGAGGTGACAGACAAATGTTGACTTCATCCTCTCATATCGATCCCTGATTCAACAGGAAATTATGGAATGACTATCCTTGATAGGCGAAGGGAACTCACAAATGGAAGAATTACTGCAGCCTTCGGCCCAGACAATGTAAAATCTGCCAACAGGATTGGTGCTAAGAAGCCTAAAAACTTAGCCCTGGCAATTCTGATCTTCAGGCATCACACACACACACACACACACACACACACACACACACACACACACACACACTCGCCAAAGGCTTGGTGTCAGCGATGCTTGCCTAGTTACTCATCCCCAAGTGCAAAATCTCACCTGCATCTTCCCACTGCTATGACATCTCCCACACGCTGAAACATTTAAAATCTTCTAACTCCCATGTAAGTTTATTTTTCTATATCCCATTCTTTTGGGCTTGTTCTTCACTGGACAAGAGCTCAACAGTGTGGTAAATTCACAGTAGTGGTAGCTAGTGGGTAAATAGTTGGCTTTACTCTGGAAGTGTTTGGGGCATTTTAGCAGAGATTGCTGGGCATAGTACCTTAATCTGAAAGGAGAACTCACAGTTAAATTCCAGGCCCTGTGACCACCTGTCAGGGGAAGGGATTTAATCACGGCTCAAGGACACTGTGTGAAGACAACTTGTCCTATGCATCCTGTGTGACTGTCAGCCTTGGCCGACTGCTCCTAAAGGGAAATACTCTGAAGATGAAAGATGCCTGTGTTAGGAGGTACTTACAAGGTATCTTTCAGAGGACACGCTGACGAGGATGAGGTCATCTCCAATTCGGACTTTTTCTCCCTCAGACCGCTGTTTGGAAGCAGGATGCATGGTCCACCAACAGGCTTCTCCTACACAAAAGCTCCTCGAGTTAGTCATTGCTCCATAGAAGCCAGTGTCCCTATTTGCCTTCCTTCTGATGATAAACTATCTCCCCGCCGCCTTCTCTCTCTCATGTATGCACACATCCACACATACTCCAGACCTCAATTTCCATTTATCTATAAGCATTCTAGTTATGTCCACATCTGTCCTTGCCTCTGTGTATCATTTTCCTTTTCTCTCGAGACAGAAGACAATATTGGGAAAGATTATTGGAGGCCAGAGAATATAGACGCCTTTGAGTGTTTTTAACACATATAAAAAAAATTCTTTCTTCATAGACACAAATCTTTAAGAATTGACTTCATTGGTTGACTGACCACTTACAGACTTTTATCTTTGCTTCTACCCCCATGAAATTCTACTAAAACACCAGTACTTCTAGTAAAAATAATCAGAGATTTTTCACGAGGCCTAAATCCACAAGGACTAAGACAGCAGGTGTGAAGTTGATACTAATGAAGTGAATTTGACATTTTGGAAAAAAAGCAGATAGGTGCTTTTCACCAAAAGAAAGCTAAAACTCAAGACTTTGCGTAAGAAAATGGAGGAGAAGCCACTCTCAAGAAGTCAGGCCATTCCTGCTGCATATTCCCTAGAAAGTCTCTGGAAAAGGAGTTAACAGTTCCCTGTGAAGGCAACAGTGGAGAAGCGGGTTGAAAACAGGAGGACCGGCTGAAAGTGTTAAAGGAACATTTAACCCTCTGCATCCTTTTTTCTGTCTTGCATCATCAGATGGGAAATGCTTCCTCTCCCACTCTACAGAAGATCAGAAGTTATATCTACGGAATGAGAAACCATCACAGGTCTGGTTTTGGAAACACCAGGCACTGTCTAACAAGAAAGTAAAGAGTATTGCTGAAAATGGACAATAACTAACATTTAACATCCTAATTTGTAAAACCCCAGCTCCCTTCTCTTTGCCTCCATCTTTCAGCTTCCAGAATGCCATATTAAAGTTTCCCAACACTGAAAGGCAAGCACTTGCAGATTGAAAAGGCCTACAGAGTGCCTAGCACAGTGGAGGAGAGAGCGCCACACCAGGGTCCATTCCTGTGAAGACCTGGAACAGAAAGGATCCATGCCCAGACGTACCACTGTAGAATTACAGAGGTACCACTGTGGAATTACAGGCATCAAGGAAAAACAGAAGATCTAAGTAGCTCTCAGAAAAAAACAAACAGGTCACACACAAAGGATTGGGAATCAGAGTACAGATATCTCAACAGCCAGACTATAAGCTAGGAGAAAATAGAAGAAAACCTTAGGGATGCTGAGAAAAAAAAAATGTTTTCCAATGTAGAATGCTGTGAATTAACTGTGAAGATGGAATGAAGAAATTTCCCAGGAATCTTTTCTGTAAAAGCTACTGGATAATGGACTCCACTGAAGTGAGGTGGTAAACCAAAAAGGGAGAAAAACATGAGCGCTAGGAACCATGAAATCTAAGAGAGAGGCAAAGGGAATTTCCTGGATGATGGTGGATGTTTCTGAGAAGATGAAACTGATAGAACAGTTGATGTGATTGAATCTAATCAGGTGAGACTTTCAGAGTTTAGAAATGAGTGATTGTTTGGGTCATAGAAAATAAAACAAACAAATAAGGCGATTATTAACTACCGGAAAACTCAAAAGTAATACAATCACGTAAACTCATCCTCATATTTCATGAGTCTCACTTGCAAATAAAAGTCTCAGTCATACCAATGTAAGTAGTTAATATTGATTTGGTAGTTACATAAAATATAGCTGTAAAATATTGGGAGGGTGGAAAGAGACGACTAGGACGAATGGGAGCACTAAATTTTTATTTTTCACTTAGGGCCATCAATAGATAATACCTAATCTGGAAAGAATACCTAAAGAGCAGTATACTATATTATTCACAGACAAATGGTGAACAATCCTAGAGTACTGACAGTAGGTGGCCCAGAGAGGCAGCCATCTAGGACAGGGAGAGGCAGGGCAGGGCACTGATCTCTTCAACAAGCCTAGGAACCCTATTTCTTTAAACTATGTACAGGGATTATTTCGATTAAATTTTGATTAAACTAAAATTTTCATGACAAAAGACATCGGAAGGGGGAAAGGGTACTTCTATCCACATGTACTCTGGCCCACCAAGGGCATTCGGGAGAAAGTGGGTCCTAAAGAGGCACCCGGGGAAGAGTCTACTCGTTCTTCTACCCTCTCCCGGGAACAGCACTGTTCCCAGAATCAGCAGACTATGGGGCCAGTCGATGACCCTAAAATACATAATAGCACTATTAGTGTTTTTATTCTTTTCATATTTCTTTCCTCCTAAGTCTAATTCTAAAGCTATGTCTGAGTGCTAAAAAAATGACACCACCCCAACAAAATGCCTTTAAAAAGAGAAAAGAAAGAAATCAGTAACCAAAATCAAGGCAAAAGGATCTCCAGCTCTGTTAAGTAAATCAAACCACTTCTTATCCGCTATGCAGGGGGAATTCCAGGATAGCTCAAGAAACAGCCTCCAAACTTCTTCTCACATTCTCCTAGAGATTCAACTCCGCTATTGGGCATTTCACGTGTTTTCAGCTCAGAAGAGGTGTCTGAGCTAAGCATGCGCTGATAGAACGACCAGGTAGGAAACAGAATGCTTCTCTGTTGGCTTCTGAGTGAATCTCCAAGTGAGAAGACGCACCCCAGGCAGCACTGAAACTTGTATGAGCTGTACACGCATTCTCCTTCTCCCTCACAAATACCAAGCTAGCCTTCCTCAAGGAGAATAAAAAACAGGTTGGGGGTGAGGGAGGTAAATTGAATTATTTTAGGCTCTAGGTTCTCATAAACACCTGGTCAACTTGTCCTACCTGTCTTCTGCCAGAGTCAGCTTCTGATCAGCCAACTTGACCTTGGGTTGGTTCATGTGTTTCTCTAGTCTGTCAGCAGAATTCACACCAAATCTGATTTTTAGGAATTTAGAAAAGACTGCTGGAAAGAATAATATTCTCTGCTGCAATTTTCCCTCTGTTTATACTGGAGGCTCTGATAATTAAATAAAATATAGTTCCTGAACACATGACCAGAAAGTGCTATTTCTCAATTTCTCCCCAACTCTCAAAAGTCTCAAGTCACTTTATCAATGCAAATAGAATGGCCACATATGACTTTTCTGATTATGTGCTCCAAGACTGACAGCTGGTTTATATTTAGAGGCTGACTTACACTCAGCGATGTGGTACTTCACTCATTTTGTAATCTTCAAAAAAGGTTGACAACAACTTAGAGGAAATGATATTTTAAGAACTAATACTTTAGCTGAAAAAAAGCAACCTCAAATCAAATTCAAATATAATCTGATTTTAGGAGGAAAAAAACAGTGGGCAGAGGCAGGCCTGCTTTTCTGCTTTGTACAAAAAGAAGGGGCAGAGAAAAAGAGTTTCTCCTCAGGCATTCTCAGGCACCACTGCACATGTTACAGAAACAGCAGGTGCACATGGTTTAAACTCCAGAGTTCTTTTTCTCCATCATCTGTAAAATCAGCCAACCTGGATCTCTCCCATATGAACTGACACAGGTTGAGAACAGCCACATGGACTTGTCCTTCTATTGCTGCCCAACAATGACATCTCCTCCTCCTATTCTGGGGAGAATGTTATGACATGACAGACTGCATCCAAGTGAGACTCTTCCTGCAGTGTGATCTAGGCTGTTTTCTCTTTCCTGGCCTCACTTTGCTTCTGCCCCATTTCCAAGCCTGGGGCTTCAGCTTTAGAGGAGGTTCTACCCAACATCCTTCCAGTAAATTATACCATTTGGCTTGAGTTCACCTGAATCCATTTCTGCTGTTTGCTACCAAGAATCCTGGTCAGGGCCGGCCGAGTGGCGCGATGGTTAAAAACTGTCTTGGGATGCCAGAGGGCCCTGGTTCGGATCCCACATATGAGGGCCAGTGACACTGCCCTCTGCAGCTAAGATGCTGAACAACAGCTCAACCTGGAGCTGGGCTACCGTGAGTCGCCGGCGACGGCGTAGGCTGCAGCCCCTGTGGCAGTGGGTTGCCATGGGCTACTGTGTGTAGCCAGCAGCCACTGTGAGCGGCTGTCCAGAAGCCGGTGACTGACCTGCCTTGCCCAGGAAGAGCGCAATGGTGGTGCCAACTTGGGCCAGTGAAGCAACGTCCTCCACAACTAGACTGAAGAACAAAATGACAGCAACTTGTCTGTTCCCCTTCCCCCAATTCCCCAGCGCTGTTCTCATCACCCCAATTTCCCAATAAAAATCTTTAAAAAAAAAAAAAAAAGAATCCTGGTCAACGCATAGCCCACCTCTAAGCAGAGCAGAGATTCCATATGTAATGCCCTTGACAGATGGTCCGATTGCCCATGGATATGTCCAGGGACAGGGAGCACTCTCCTAAGGCCACCTGCTCCTCTGTTGGATAATTGCAGATATTACAAAGTGGTTTCCTTTACTGAGGTGAAATGTATATGTCCTTTCAACTTCTATGCATTGATCCATTGGTCTTGGGAATAACCAACAGCAAGTTGGTCCCCTCTTTCATCTTGTAACTATAAATTATAAATATAACTACATATAACTATATATAGAACTATAGTTATCCTGCCAATATTTTTGACTAAACTAAAAAAAAAATATGATGTATATAGCACTGGTGATAAAGGACAATTAAATGACATTAAATCATATAGTAAGGACCATATTTTTTTATTACTCCTTTAAGCCTTCTAATTCTATCAGAGAAATTTTTCAGTTTGGAGCTTGTGTATCATTAACACTTTTCTAATATTTGCCAACATCTCTTCCATTATTTAATGACCTGGGTTTCTTTTCATTATATTTACTTTTATGGCAAGCAATACCAGTTTTCTACTTATAGCAATGTTATAAGCTTTGTTTCTAAAATTTTAAATATAACAGTAAGTAAATTTAAAGAAAAATATCAAGTAAATTAGAGTATAGGTGATGCATCGGAAGGACAAAAACTATGGTGGTGGATGTCATCGACAAACATTTGGAAGCACTGCTTTAGAAACAGCTGGTTGACTGAAGAAAAAAAATGGGGCTATTCCTCCATATCTCCGAGAAGGTAAAGGGATTAGAAAGTACAAATTAGTAGCCACAATATTGCCATGGGGGTATGAAAGACAGTTCAGGGAATATAATCAATAATGTTGCAAAGATTTTGTAGCGTGTCAGATGAGCACTTATCTTATTAGAGAGACCACTTCATGGATGGTGTAGATGCCTGACCACTGCACTGTACACCTGAAGCTAAAGCTGAATAATATTGAATGTCACTATAATTTATATATATAGTGTGTGTATGTGTGTCACGGGATGTGGAGTACAGCATAGGGAATAGAGTCAATGGAATTGTAACAGCTATATATGATATCACAGGGGTAGTAGATTGGGGAAGGGGGGTTATCACTTTGTGAGGAGTGTAAATGTCTAATTATTACATTGTTTTGTACACCTGAAACTAATAAAGAAAAAAAAACAGGTAAAAAAAAATGGGATTACTCCTTTGAGCTAGATACTATCCTTCATTATGTCAGCCCGTATTATGCTATCTTTGTTTTCTTAGCAGTTATGCATGACCATTGGGTTTATCAGGAATAACTTCTCTACTTATTTTCAGTACTTAACCCTAAACAATTGTTTTTCTTTGAGACTGGCAGATTGTGGTTAAAGCATTATGTTCTCTTATTCTTAGTTTCTATGTTTCCATCATACAGTCTTTCTTTATCATTCTTCAGAATCTTTTCAGACCTATTTCTTGACCCCACTGGTTAGTTGGTTTGGAATTCCCAATCCCAATGAATAACATATTCAGCCTCCTTCTCAAAAGTCCTTCGGCCAAGACCCCACTGAGCAGGTGATCTGGGAATGTTGACTTACCTGAGGCATGTTCCCGTAGACCTACATCAAAGGCAAGTTTATCTGTCTGGGATCTTGATGTAGTCAAACATGTTAGATACTGTAAAACAAGAGCAGATGCTAGTGAAGTCAGGTCTTGGCATCTCACCACTAGTTGGCTTCTAGTTGTCAACGTCAACATTGAGTGACTGGGCCACAGGCTAATCTTGTTCATTATTATAATGGTTTGGAATATACTTTTATAATATATTTAAAACCTCAAAGATGTTCTTACCTGACAACCCAGTGACTTAACTTATGGGACTGTGCGTTATAGAAATAAGTTTGAAATATTAAATATGCTTTAGTTCAAAGATATTCTGAGAAAGCTTCAAATTGGGAACAATATAAATGGAACATAAATGACCAACAGTAATGGAAGGATTGATAAACTCTGGGACTTCATTTTATGGAATATTATGTTACCTTCAATTGCATTTATCAAGAGTGTGTAAGAGTGTGGACTACAAAACAGTATATTTGTAAAGTTAACACGTATGCAAAATCTAAATGCCTAGCAACCAGGCTAAAAGAAATTACACCAAACTGAGAGCAGAAGTTATTTTTTGATGGGGGGAAGACCCTGATGATTCCCACATTTCTATTTATTCTGTTTTTCAAATTTTCTATGAGCTTTAAAACTTCTCAAATAATGTTTTTTTTTCAATTATAAAAATACAGGTGCATGTAAAACTTAACAATGATTTTTAAAATAATTTACTAAAGAAAAAAATTTTAAAAACCCACAGTTTGTTCTCTGTCTCCTCTATTGAAAGGCACAGCCGCTGACCTTACAATTATACTGGGAGGCAGTTTTGCACTTGAAACGTGCTTTCTGGGTTATACTCCTAGTTCTCTGCAGCAGGAAAATAGAGAATCATTGCATTATACAGAGTCATATCACACAGGCTTTTCCCTCAGTGTTGGTCCTAAAAGGAACTAGCCAGTATAGAGCTTATGTTAACTGTAATGGTATCTTTGGGGGATGGGGGGAGGGAGGCGTGGGACAATAAATCTAATGATAAATAATGTAAACCTTCGTATCTCTACCACAGTGTTAGCCTGAGGTTTCAAGGCCAGGAGAAGAGTGCTATTTGAGGCTTTGTTTATTCTATTTTGGTAGAAAATGAGAGGTATTAAGGTTTTATTACCCTATGGATAAGCACCAGAGCCTGCAAGATAAATGATTGCCTCTCACTTCTGAGACTGTAAGGTACAAAGTCTCCCCATGCTAAACGTCCCTCCCTGTCTCCTCAGATCCTCTTCCATTTGGTCATTGTTGTTCTCTGTCCTTTGTCATGAAGGACTACAACAGATGAATGTTCACGCCGAAAAGGTCAACGTCTTACCAGCACTCAGGAAAAGAAATGCTGCAATAAATAATTTACGAGGCAGCCTCGGCTCCAGCTGCCAATTTGATAGTTCAGGCTTTGAGATGAACTTTGCAGCATGGGGCAGGTATAAATGTGTGAGAACAAAGTCTTGAATGAATGGAACCATGTTTTCCACTGGGGACAGAGAAAGAAGGCAAACCTTCCTTACACTGATATCAAGTGAGGATGATACGTGTAGGGACTGGGAGTAAACGTTACTAGAGCTGGCACATATTTAAGTTGACTGAGATCACAGTATTCTCCTTAATACTCCCTGCGAAGGATCTGTAATATCTGCATTTTACAAATTTATTTAAATCTGAAAAAATTTTTCAAGTGACATTGAGTTTTCACCGTTTGGGTTAATTCTGGTTCTGGATTCCTAATTAGTTATGGCCTGCTCAGCTTTCTCCTGCCTCTGGATTAACATAGCATAATACTTTCAAATTCTTCCAGGACTGAAGGCAACAGATATCATCCCATTTACGTTAGCTAGTAGAGGAGGAGAAATTTCACAAAAACCCCATTTGATTGATTTTTTTCTTCTATGCTCGTTATCCTTGTATAGTCAAGAAATCAGTTATCCCACAGTTTACTTGATCATCAACTCAACACATCTTTATTGAGCACCTAGTATGTCAAGGTAGTTGACATACTTGGTGGGATTAGGTTGAAATTTAAAAAAAGAGAGACATGGTCCTTTTCCTCATGGCGTGGGGAAGACAGTGGTCAGACATTATTCAAATACAAATATATATCCACAAATGGAGATGTTATAAGAAGGAAATGCTAAGACAATAATATGCTATAATTATTTACATTCCGTATTACTCCTGCTGTTAAGCTGACCTAGACACTTGCTGGTTTCCTGTCCTTTCTCCCCTCTTCCTCTTCCCCTTCCTCCTTGAATGGCGAAAGCAGACACCCAGATGTGCTTACCATTCCGCTGAAAGAGTGTCGTAGGAGAATCGCGTGGCCATACAGCAGGGTCCTGTGGCCACCCCCTTGTGCTGCCTGTAGAAAAGGAGGAGGAAAAATGTCAGGATGGGCCAGCTGTGGCTTCTCTGAGAGCCAAGCAGCACAAGAATTCTAGAAGACAAACTACCAAGAAAAGATGCATTGCAATGCTCCCAAGGAATTCATCCTAAAAGCGAGTGGCCAGCCTACGGGAGGGGGTAGACTGGTGACCACAGCCATGCAACATCCTTGGGAGAGGGTGCAGGGAGAGGGCCGAGCCTCTTCCCCAAAATGGCCCCTGCCTGGGATCAGCAGAAACCCAGGGCTGTTCTACCAGAGAAGCATGGAAATGAGATAGGTACTGCTTACCTTCCTTTGAAACTTCTCAGAAGCATTCAGAGTGAGAGAGAGAAACAAATGTGCTGTAACTACAGCCTAGCAACAGAAAGGCAGGTTGGGCAGGCATACGATCACATTCTGTGCCTTGCTGTCTTTTCCCTTCAAGGCTCTGTCTTATGCCTTCTGCCCACACACTTACATGTACCCTATTTATCCAGCTCTCACCAATGAGAGATGGCTCTGAAATCAGGACGTTAAAATGGCAACTTATACAGAAATAGATAATTCAGTCAAGTGACTATCTTAGGTACCTTCACTGCCTCACTGGGCAGCTCCATTTTGGCCATTTAATCAGTGGCAGCCCTACCAGAAGGAGAGGGAGGCACACGAGAAGAGACAGCCCACTGGTGTCTGCTTCCTACTTTCTCCCTTAGTTTGATTCACATATCACTATCTCAACTGAATAGTCCATGATATGAGACAAAACTATTGTTTATTTGAGTTATAGGTGAGTAGGTAACATGGAAAACTGAAATCTACAGAAAATTCTATAGTTTTTTTGGCATCGACATTTTTCAACCTTTTACCTAAATCTCTCCCTGTCCCGTTAACCTGCCCTCAAAGACAGTGAATTTTTTTTGGGGGGGACCACGTACCCCTTTTAGGAAAAAATATTAACACACAGGTCCCCATCCCCAAATACACACAAGAAGAGAATCCAAAGCCTGAGATTAAAATTAATCATAAAGAGAAATTCTAACACTTTCCTTCTATATGCCAAGGGCACCTTTTATGCACCGTATCTTATTCAGAGCTCCAGACTCACAGCCCAAGGGGCTGGTCTGAGGCTCTGCCCCTCTCCCGTGTCTGCCCTCCATCAAAGCCATGAGCAATGGAGGGAAAGCCGGTGGTATGGAGAGAAGGCAAGGGTTTGGATACTAGAGCCTGGAGTGATTTTATTTCAACTCCACTTGGATTAAGAGAATCCCTCTGTCAAGGAGATGATTTTTTTATGTCATACAACGAGCCTAAAGAAAAGACAAAAGAGAAACATGGCATCATGTTAAAAAAGAAAGCCAATAATTATGTATAACTGTGGCTGTGCTGTTTTTACAACTATGGAGATATGTAAGTGCTCTCCAGGCTTTAATACTATGGAGGAATTAAATGTTCTTCACAATATTTCCAAATTTCTTGCAATCATTTGAACTAACTTTAGTTGCTGTATTTACAAATGTGTCAACAGCTTACATTAAAATTAGCCATACTAAATAATTTTCACATCTTGTCAGTCTAACTGAAGTTTTTCCTGTACATTTGTGTTATTACAAGGTCACCGATAGCTCATGATGGCTTAGGTCGTAAGTGTATGCTCCCAAACTAGTCCTATGTCTCCAACTGAACGACAGAGTAAATTATATTTCCTGGTGTTGCTATCAACACCTTCGTTTCTATCAACGCTGTGAATAATCATAAGAGTCAAGAGTTGCTGGCCCCCAAAAGAGGCACTACTGGAAACATCTGGCCCTTGTGTCCTTTATTATGGCGACAACAGAAAAGCAACGCAACTTCAGTACCCCACTGGGACTGAGCGGGACATCACTGCAGAACCCTGGAGGCATCACAGCCAAACTCTTCCCCCCGCTAAGGCAGTGGTGCTTAGATGCCGGTGTATATCTGCTGGTTAAAACGCGGGCTGCTGACCCCTCTCCACGGTGTCTGTATCATTATGCCTGGAGGGGAGCCTGAGAACTTGCATTTCTAACAAGTTCCAGGGGACATGACACCAACGCAGCTGGTCCAGCAACCACATTCTGAGAACCACTGCTTTAAGGAGTCATCAAGCTTCAGTGCTAGCAGGGCAGGGGGGCTCTTTCTGCAGAAGCTTTGATAACCATCATGTTGCTAAGAGCTACCACTGGGCACACGCTATGCGCCAGGTGCTTTGCATCCCATCATAGCTCAGTCTCATAACTTTCCAAAGTAGAAATGGTTTCCCCCATTTCGAACGTGAGGAATTTGAAGCTCAAAGCGGGTAGGTATCTTGCTGCATGTCACCCACCTGAATGGGGTGGTGGTGGGAATTGGACTCCGTGTTAGCTCCAGAACTGAGCCCCTTTTGCTTCACTTTTCATAATATATTCATTAGCCTACTGCACACAAAACCAGTGTACAAAGCACCAAAGAATAGGATACAAAGATACTTCTCCGGCTCCTTAATGAAGGGGAATTGATATAGCTGGAATTAAATGAGCTCTAATTATATGGCAGGCACAGAGCTACACTAAGTGTTGTACATGAATCAACTCATTTTATCGTCTTAATTAGTGCTATGAAGTAACTATGGTAATTATCTCCATTTTACAGCCAACACAAACTGAGGCTTAAAGAGATTAAGTCATTTACTTAAACTCATCCAGGTTCCAAGTGCAGCATTGGAATTTAACAAACACAAGGGACTTAGCCATATGTTACATTGGCTCCTGTGTAGTCTCATAGGGGAGATAAGACTTGCGCATCAAAAATCATGTTACAAATAGAAATGATATTTCTGTTAAAAGAGTTACAGACACAAAGCACTGGAATAGACCAGGAGGGTGTTACAGAAATAGCCTTATCAAAAAGGTAGGCCATAACAGTCTGCCAGGACTGCTGACATGTAACGATGCTAAGAAAGAGGAACCCACAAGGGGGGAGGCCTGGAGGTGGGAAGTAGGAAGTGCATGTGGAGACTAGTGGATATTTCAGAGATTAGTGTTGGGGTCCATGAATGGGACCAGCCGGCAACAAATCAGGACACAGGTGCAGGGAGGTCAGATGATGAAGGGCTATGACTGTTCCACAGCTAAGGGGACACTGGTGTAGGTTTTGGAAAGGAGAGTGCCACCATCAAAACTGTGTCTTAGGAAGATAACCTTGACTGCAAAATGGTGGGAAAACTCCGGAGTCTCAAACCCTAGAGCAGCGGTTCTCAACCTTTCACAGGGGTCGCCTAAGACCATCGGAAAACATATATTTTCCGTCTCCATCCGTCTCTAGGCGGGTCCGCCCACATGCAGATACGCCCACATACGAGTACCCGGTGACCCCTGTGAAAGGGTCATTCGACCCCCAAAGGGGTCGCGACCCACAGGTTGAGAACCGCTGCCCTAGAGGCAGAAACGGTTATTCTCTCAGTTTCCACGACAACGTAAGGAAAGCATGGAGACCAAAAATCTTGGAGTCGTCTTTTACTCCATTCTCCCTCTCATGCCCCACACTCTATCCAAAGCCCCTTTGGTGCCACCTTCTAAATATGTTCTGTATCCAATTACTCAGCACCCTGCTGCTACCAGCCTAGTCCAACCTACTGCCCTGTCTCACCTGGACTACGATGATGGCTCTAACTGTGCTTCTTCCTGTGCCCTCCCCCTCTTGTATTCTGAGTTAACATAGCAGCCAGAGCTGTCCTTTTAAGACCATCAATGTCAAGCACATCACGTTGCTTTCTTGCTCAACCACGCCCGCCCCCATCACTTCCTTTCACACTTGGAAGTACCATCCTCACTATGATCTGGGCAATAGGGAGTTGGCACATTTTCTCTGTAAAAGACCAGGTAGTAAATATTTTAGGCTTGGCAGGATGCATATGCTCTCTGTTGCAGTCTTCTCTATTTTCAACAACGCTTTCAAAATTTAAGAACCATTTTTACCTAGAGGGCTATACACTAAACATGCTACATGCTGGACTTGGCCTGCTGGTTGTCCTTGCAAATCCATCCCCTACTGACCTGGTTCCCTTCCACCTCTCCAACTACATTGTTTACCAGGCGCTTACTCCCCATCACTCCCTCTCTGCAGCCACATGGGCTCCTCTATTCATCAGACACGCTCGTTCCCTCTGCACAGCCTCTGCATGGCCTCTGCTCATGAGTTTCCCTCTGCCCGGCCTCTGTTCATGAGTTTCCCTCTGCCCGGATGCTCTCCCTTCCATGTTCTCAAGGCTCATCCCCACCTTTTTATCAGTTCCGTGCTCAGATCTCATTAGAGAAATGCTCTCTTATCACCACTTCTAAAGGAACAATCACCCTTACTCTACCTCATTTTTCTGCTTTATTATTCTCATGGCATTCATTATTAGCTGGTATGCATTCATATGTTTTTTTTTTAATGTGCCTTTATCCTCCGTCCCCCTAGAGCATGAGCACCAGGAGTTTTTGTTGTGTTCTCTGCCACATCAACATCCCTTTTATCGGTGCCTGGCAAATAAGATGCACTCATTTTCATATTTCATATTCCTATTTCCTGAATGAATGAGGAATAATTGGAGGACATGGTCTTTTTGTCTCCCTTTTGCAAATGTGAAAAGAAAAACTTTCCCATGGTCATCTTGTAAGCAGTGAGCTTGGATTTGAATTTGGGTCTATCTACAAATGCTACTAACCCTTTTCACTATTTGATGCTAATTCTAGAAAAACATTCCAGGAAAGAGGTGATGCTTTAACTAGAAGCCTGCATGGATCAGCTCACAAGGAGGTATCCAGACCTCAAGACCATGAGGCTTTATCAGAGTGGCGTTCCTGTCTCTGCCACATGTGACCTTGGCTGCCGTCACTCATGAGAGAATATTTAGTACCAACTCACAGGATGGGGCTGGGGCAGGGCAAAGCTGGTGCTGTGCACTGATGCCATGTCCAGAGGAAAAATGTCCCACTAGATCATTAATTCAATCTTGCTGT